CAATTCCTCTAGAGTGATGGGACTATCCAAAATCGGATGGCTTACGACATAAACCACCAGGTCACCAGCAATATCAGGGGGGTACAACTTTTCAAAGTAAGATCGCCAACGTTCGGGTCTAATCGGATTGAAATTGGATGATTTATTTGCTGTTTTTTTCACTGCAAGCCAGAACTGTTTAGAGTTTTTCACGTTTGCGATCTCATCTGTCAAATTTTGATAATAACATTTTTTTGTTCTGTTAATCAATGATTTATATTCCCTTTTACAGTCCAAGTAAGCAAGATAACTTTCAGAGGAGTAGTGCTGTTTTTTGAGATCACTATACTTTTTCCTCACCTCTTTCTTCTTAACACGACAATCAGTATTAAACCAATTAGAGAACTGGTAAGTGGTTCGACCATCCACGACTTTACAGATTCGTTTCACCATACCGGCTGCCTCCGCTGATTTTTTGATTGCAACAATGAGATTATTGTAAAGATTTGAAGGATCAGTACTGTTAAAATATAGCTCATTACAGCGAGAGATTGTTTTTTGAAAATCAGCTTTCTTATCTTCCATCCAAAACAGTCTCCTGGAACATATTCCATAAACATCACCGTTTTTTGAAATGCATTGCTTAATTTCACCCGAATCCCAGCAAGGGGTCACCATTTTAAGAAGGCATGCTTTATGTTCAGAGGTTAGAAAAATTAATAACTTCAAAGTCTTGAATCAAATTTAAGCCAGTGTGATTGAGCAAGATCAATTGTACTTTTTCCTGAAGATGAGAGGAAAATAAAATCACCTGTTTTGTCTGACATAGATCTCCCGTTGCACAACTCCAGGCTCAAATCACCCAACATCTCCAGCAGCAATCTCCTTCTTTTATTTATAGTTTGATCACAAGAATTTCTTGGGTAATATAATAGTGTATTGTTAAAAATTAATTCCTCTGACTTTTCAATAACACCGACACGTGCATTAAAATCACCCACAACAATAAGAACTAAATTTTGACCATATTTTTCTTTTATATAATTTAAATGCTCAGACAGTCCATGAATACAATAATCAATATTAGAGGACGGGTTCCAGTAACATGAAACTATAACATAAATTAAATCACCTATCTTTATTCCAATCGATACCCACAAATATGTTTTTGCAATAATGAATACATTTTTTTCATATCGTTTCTTAACGAAAATTGCAATTCCCCCACTTGGTCTGCCAAAGGATTTTGTTTTACGTGCTTCACTATACACAAAACTACTGACCCAAAAAAGTCGGGCAATTCTTCATTTTTAACAACCAGGTTTCTACCATACAAAAGATATCAATTTTTCCAAACGTATCAAGTACTCGCTTATCAAAATCTGAATTTAATACATTTGGAAACCCTGAAATATTCCAAAATAATATACATAGACATGCTTTTCTCTCCTTACTAACATTTTTATCTGCGGCAACACGACCTCCACCTAGTTGCGATGGTTTTTCGTTAGGGACGAAAAAGCTCCGCACCATCACCGACCACTGCTTTCTCAGGGGAACGAGGACCGTCTTTTTTCTTAAAATAGCGAGTCAAAGGTAGCGACGATCCAGGGCTCCTGGTCCTCTTCTTTCCTCCTTCATCCATGCGTACGGTTGAACGATGTTCCCGTTTTCGAGGCGTATCATTCTGCAGTTTGTCGTAGGATCGAGTCCCATGAGAGAACTGGTTGAAATCCAATGTATTGATGTTGTTCGAGTCAAACTTCTTGCCCTCGATGATCAAAAAATCTCTTATAAGAGAAGCCCTGATGTTAAGCCCTCTTGCTTTAATGAATGCCGGAAGAACTTTTTTCCGGTTAATGCGATATACAGGCAGATCTTCGTGAATGTATGTGTTTTTCCCTTTTAGATTCTTTTTTGCAGCCCAAACGTCTGCACGTTTAGAAAATGAATTGAAACGGACTATGATCATGTGCCCACGATTGTTCGTTACGTTCACAATTGAATCAATGTCCTCAACCTTAATTGTGGATACCTGCATTGTTTCGTCAAAAAATTTCTTTAAATCATCTTTAGCCGTTCTATAGGACGTAAAATTGATCTCGAGGTTCAAGATTACTAAGTTGTTTTTCCTTAATTGGTATTGTGTAAAAGCAAGCTCACTTTTTAACTGGGCGTTTTCCATTTTCACTCCTTCGATATTACGGGTAGCATTCTCCAAGTTTGCTGTTTGAGCCTTTAAATCGTTTTCTAACGATAGCATTTTTGCTCTGATATCGGAAACTTCCTGTTTAATAGAAGTGACATCTTGTTGTATGTTTGTGAGAACCTCCAACCTTTTAATCACGTCTTCAATAGTAGCCATGTTTCGGAAAAATTGATGTGACAAAAATGGTTTGAAGATTAATATTTATTTATTCAATGCGCCGATAAGTAACACTACCGAAGTATGCCGGTCTCGCCGGATTGTTGTGATAAACTCAACAACACGCCTTAACTCCCACCTAGTTCTTATCTATTATTTTATCACATAGAATAGAAAATTCACGGAGCGTAATCCGAAGTGGAATAAAAATAATTTAGTTTTTACTCACTCGGAAATGACCTTTTATGGAAAGGCTAAATAGATCTTCACATACACAGGCACTCTTCAAGCAGCGAGCGAAGTTCCAGTTCATAAAACCAAATCTTGCCCACGGCAATTCACTTTTAATACAGAGCGATCTTATACACGTCCACAAAGTATGACAATACATCTGCATCTCCAAATATTTGGCTACAAAACCTAGATAAGTTCGTTCCAAGTGTTCCAGCAAGTAATACAACAGTATTGATCAGTTGTAACGATCCAACAAATATGAAAGTATAACCGTTCTATGACAGTAAGAACGTTTCAAGTGTTCCAAGAGGTAATACAACAATATTGATCAGTGGAACATTCCAACCAATGTGGGAGCATACATACCCAAACTTCAAGTAGTACGTTGGAACATGGTAATGGAATACGACTGCTCCAAATAGTATCGAAACTAAAAATGTTGCGTTTGGTTGTTGCAATATTTCGACGAAATGCTTAAAAAAACGTTCCAACTAATTTTCTGGAGGTTGAAACAAATCCGGAGTTGTTGGAACGTTCTTAAATCAGATCTTAGATTTTTTTTTGAACGAAGAATTTCAGAACAACTTGGACATTAGTTTTTTGTTATTTTTTTTAAAGATTTCACTAAAATAAGTGAAAAATCATGTTCAAATCGTGCAAGAAAGACAAATTTGAAACATGTAATTCCGACTTCGAAATGCATATGGCAGGTCTGTCACTTTCTGGCGAGAAACAATGGATCAATTTAAAAAAAATTTTGAAAAAAACTTTCAAACATTCAAACGAAATAAAAACTTTCATTCATTCATAGATTTCACTAACAATGAGCTTTTGCTTATTGTTAGTAAAATCGTGTGAATATTTTGAAGCGGCCATTAAGGGGAGAAGGAAAAACACGGCCGCCAACGCAATATTGGCGAGAAACCGTGTCCAAAGACCAAAACACTGTTCTGTTTCAGAACAACTTGGACATTACAGTTGTTTTTTAACTATTTGTGTAGAAATTTCACTAAAATAAGGGAAAAATCATGTTCAAATCATGCAAGAAAGACAAATTTGAAAGGGCTATTCAGTTTCAGAGATTCAGATATGGCAGCCCTGTCACTTTTTGGCGAGAAACCATCGATCAATTTAAAAAGATAATTTTAAACAAAACTTTCAACGAACATTTTTAAACGCAATAAAAATTTCATTCATTCATAGATTTCACTAACAATGAGCTTTTGCTTATTGTTAGTAAAATTGTGTTTGAATGGTGTAAACATTTTGAAGCGGCCATTAAGGGGGAGAAGGAAAAACATGGACGCCGCCTCAATATTGGCGAGAAACCGTGTCCAAAGACCAAAAACAATGTTCTGTTTCACAACAACTTGGACATTAGTTTTTTTTAAATATTTGTTTAAAGATTTCACTAAAATAAGAGAAAAATCATGTTCAAATCGTGCAAGAAAGACAAATTTGAAATGGCTATTCATGTAAGAGAGAACGGCGGCATCGTCACTTTTTGACGGAGAATCAAGAAAAATTCGATAAAACACACCAATTAAACCAAAAATTACCCCGTATATTTTGGTTTTTCACACAATTTTGTCTCTTCAAACGGGACAAAATTCACGTAAGAAAGGGATTCACGTTGGAAAGAAACGAACATGGCCGCCTTAAAACGTTTTGGCGGGAAACCGAGAGAAAAAAAAAATACTCCAGAGATAAAACTTTGAAGAATGGTGGCCAAACGTGGCGGCAACATTTCACAAACAAAACAAAAAAAGTTAAACCTACTTTTTTTGTTTCGTTCAAAAAAAAAATCCTGGCCAAATTTTGAAAAGCCTTCATGATTGACACCGCAAAAAAAATGGCGATTTGTACACAGAGAGCAAAAAATCTTTCTTTCACTTATGAAAATTTTGTCAGGCGTTAAAAATATTTTATGAAAAGGCTTCTTATTTTTATAATTTGGTATTAATTGTAATAAAATTATCGAAAATTTAATGAAAATTTTAAAAAAATGTGTATATCTTATGATCAGGGCCATGGACAAAAAAAATGGCGGACTGTCGGTTTTTTTTCTTTATTAAATTGTTTTTTAATTTATTTATTACAAATTGAAAAAAAAACTGCAAATATTGTTTATTAAGCCCATTGGTTTTCCATTTGATAAAGGCAGATTATTTCCTAAACAAAAAAACTGAAATTAATGGCCGCTGTGGTCAAATCTTAAACTAGGGTTCGCCAGAAAAATTGCAAAATTGTGAATTTTCATGTTTTTATGGTTATTTTGATAAAGGACAAGAGGAAAGAAGATAAACATGTAATGCTAATGCCACGTCCCGGCATCTGACCGTACGCCGGGTCGAAGGCGACGTCGTGGAACCCACCGGAGGACAACATAGATTTTTTTTTTTAATCGTCCAAAAATACTCACCGAGGACCGTCGGATCCGCCTGCATGTACGACAGTATGTACTTGTTGAGGAATAGTGTGCAGCCGGAGAAGAAGTACCAGAGGAAGAGGAAGAACAGGGCCCGGCAGTTGAGAAGGCCCCCCTTCTGGGTCATAGCGGTCTCCGGAGGCGGGACGGCACGTTCTTCGTTCATGTTACACGGTGTAACTTGCCTCGGGAGCTAGAACGAAGCGAGGGACGGACGTAACATCGTCGCGTATGACAACAACCCTGCTTAGAGAAGGTACGGCGGCCGAGGAAGGAGGGTGACGCCTCAACGCTGTTACAACCCGTGACGTCACGTCCGTCAGGTCGGTGAACCAAAACCCAGTCAACTCGCCATACATATTTTTAACAAATATATTAATTTATTACCAAAGCACCATGCATCTAAAAAGATCCAGATGAAGGTCTGATTGATAAAAGTTCACTATGCATCATCCGATTTACAACTTTGATGGTGGGACTTAATTTTATTAAAAAACAAAAAAATCCAGTTTACAAACTTTGGGAGTCTTGATATAACAAGACCAATTGTCTGCCATTTTTCTGCGACAGCTTGCTAGTCAAGTCCCAAAGTCCCTTGATAATTGACCCGAGGATTGTTGTTTTATTATTACAAGGTCTGACAATGTCAACTCGGAATTTTATTAAGCCCTAGATAATGCAAGGTCTGTTGCTGGAACGTGATTTTACAAAGTATGACTTTTTTCTGACTTAAATATCCAGAAGTCTTGATATTTGTAAGATTTTGATAAAAGTAAAAAAACCACTCTTGATCAGATTTGGGTGTTTCATGGTAGGACTTAATTTTAAAAAATCCAGATAAAAAGTCTGGGCGTCTTCATATAACAAGACCAATTGTTGTCTGGCACTTTTTTGTGACAAGTTTTCAAGCCCGAAGCCGTTTGATAATTGATCACAGGACTTGTTTTTACTATTACAAGGTCAGACTTAACAGCCCAAGTTTTCAGATAAGTCCCTCACCCTCCAAAGTCCTGACATATATGAAAAAAACAAATCGTTTTACCGTGTGAATTGGCTTGTCAACTCGGAATTTCGTGTTTTTAAGGTCTATTGTTGGGACGTGATTGTACAAACTATGACTTTTTTTCCGACTTAAATATCCAGAAGAGATGTGCAAGATTTTGATTCAAGTAAAAACCCTCTACCTGAATAGATTTGTGTCTTTCATGGTGGGACTTAATTTTTCTAAAAACCAAATTTTTTCAGTTAAGAACAATAGTCTTAAGATATGAAAATAAATTTTATTAGTACATATATTCATTTCAAAGTCTAAACCCTTCAAAAACCTCACGATGGGACTTGGTATTACAAATTAAAAGACTTTCAGACTTAAAAACTTGTGATTTGAAGGCCGTTTGGTGATGGGACAATTCGTGAATTGGGATTCTTGGAGTGATTATTTTGCCCTTAAGACCAAAAACGTCAGATAATACGAGCATGGCGGGACTTGATGTCATAATGCACGAGTTTTTCTTTCTGGAAGAGCAAAGTTTTCAACTTCAAAGTCTAAGCCTCCAGAAACTTCATGGCGGGCATGATTTACTAAATTGCAGGCTTGAAAACTTTGAAGTGATTTTAAGATTGGCAGTCGGACTGTTCTATTGGTTTCATGGAGGGCTGAAAAAGTCTCAGGCCAGACAGAATTAAAGTTTACCATGGTGGGACTTGATTTTATGAAATATATAATTGTCTGAGAGATTGTTCGATATGCTTGGATTTATTTCAAAAGGGCTTGTAAGTTGGGCAAGTCTGAATACGCCCAATCGGCCTAAATTTTTTCGAGAGGGAAATTTTCCGGGAAAAGCCAAGTTTTAAAGAGATTAGGGGTGGTGGTTTTACAATTTTCTAGGATTAAATTTTTGAACAATTTTAGATTTGATTATTAAAATTTGGCCGACCAAGAAACTAACACAAATCAAACGAAAAATAAGTGAAATGTAATCTTCAATTTCAACTGTGTTTCCTAATCAGTACAATAGGAAAATGTATCAATAAACCAAAGAGAAATATAATTTTCTTTGGACCGAATAAGTCAGGCCAGAATTGCCCCAACTTGTTAAAAAAAATAAAAAAATAACAGTCCAAAAAGTGCGATTCGTCAAAAGAGCCATTTTTTCCTCTTACAATTTTTATTTTTAAAAGTTTTCTCGTGTTAATAATTAATTGATAAATTCATCATGTTGAATGACAATTCACCGATTTGACGTTGCCTATCCATCGTGACCTCACGTATGGAGTCGAATCTCCACACCAGTTGACGTCTTGTTCAGGGTTCTAACCGCTATGTTTGCCGACGACCCTGAATTAAGTTTAACTTGACAATACTAAATCGAGAGATTTTCAAGCATCCTCGCACTTTTCTCAAAGAATTAGGAAAAATTGACGGTCCAAAAATCTTATTTTAATTAATTTGTAATGATAGACCGCCACTAAAATTTTCCCCTTTTTCTTCATTCGTGAAAAAAGAAAGAAAAATAAAAGCTTCACGGAATTTTTCAAATTCTGTCTTGTTTGTTGTGTACTTGCCTGGGGTAAAAAAATTTTCCTTCGGCATAGCTACACACAAACAGAAATGACTTTATCCGATTAAAAAATATTATGTCAGTTATTAAAAACAAAGCTTTAGTCATAAATTATGAGCTTTTGGAATAAACGATCCTTAAGTCTCAAAAATCCAAAGACTCACCTAGACTGAAAAATTGATTTAAACTGAAAAAGCTATCATAGTATTTTGAAAAGATGTTTTATCATTTTTTTTCCCTTTATGAAATAGAAAAACCAGCAACGCCAACTGATTGGTTAATTTCAGGTTATAACTGCGAAGCTATCAGGTTAGTTATAACTTACAGCCCTGCTTCACCATTAGGACGGATTAGGTTATAACCAACCTGAGATTATAATGAAGTTTTAATCTTATCTGTATAGATAACAATGCACTTTCAGTTTGGTTTGCGTTAAAAACACGTGCTAGCCAAAGGATGAAGTTTATAACCTATGTGTGATGTTAGTCCATCAACAGACTGGTTACTATGACATATATCATCCAACTGTGTTGGTTGCGATGAAGTTATAACCTGTATATATTAGGTTAAGGATGACGTTTTAACCTGTGACAGGTCATGGATGAATCTATAAACTACATCTGTTATATGAAAACATGAAGTTTGGTTTACACTTATTTGGTTGCAAATATCTGTATGATGATCTATAACCTGTATTCGTTAGTTTAAGGATGAAATTTTAATCTAATCTTATTAGGTTATAGATTATTTTATAACATGAATGGTAAGTTAAGGATTAAGTTATAACCTAAACCTGTGAGGTTAAGAAAACTTTGTAACCTAGGTGAAGAGTGAGTTATAACCTTACCTACTAGTTTAAGTTATAACCTACCCATGATAACTTTTCAAATAGATATGACGTTATAACCGTTTGTCTCTGGCTTTTAAACTATTGCTGAAATTCAATATGCATCGTTGTTTATAGCCTGATGTAATTTAAGTTCAATGGTGGATGACGATGATCACGATTATCAGGATGAGATTAGGGGCGGAGATTGCGAAATAAAAGGCTTTTTAAAATGGATAAAAGCGTTGGCTGGCATTAGAAACGCTGACTGATGACTGGGTGATATGCCATCATTTCTAGGACGGTTGTTTAGTATTGTAATATACCTATCAAGAATTTTGGTAGACATGTTGGCGTTATGAGGCCGCAGGTTTTCCTTTGTAAAATAAGTCCAAAACACGTGTGGAAAATTCTAGGAACACTAGGGGTTCATGATTTAAAGAAAAACTATGATCAATCGTCGAAATAAAATGTGTGCACGATAACTGTGACGTATGGACTTTGTCGCCTTTTCATGGATGACGAGCCAAACTTGTATTTTTGTACCGATTCTGCTTGTTTCGGGCTATATTTAGGTGGTAGGAATGTTTTGAATTGAAACGGCCCGCTGTTCCTCGGGTGTGTAGCGAGTCGCAGCAGACCATCGTCAAAGAAAAAATGAAGTGAAAAATTGTATACCAATTTAAAATCTGACGAATTATGGATCAATCCACTGGACTGCAATTTTATCTATTGAATAATAAAGTAGTTCTGTTCACAAAATATGTTAAGAATTTTACCATTTTACCAAAACATGGCCAATTTGATGTTTAGGAGGACTGTCGATATGACGCCTTCATTGTCGCCATTTGACCAGTCCGTAAAGCTTAATCTGATCAGTTCAAAATTTTACGACGTCGTTCATATTGGACAGCCAAAAAAGAGCAGGTTCCAAATGGATTAGTTGGGTTGCGAGAAAATCTGTATCGAAGTCCTTACCATGTTCGACCAGGCTGCATTTTAGTGGTGAGAATGTTTTGAACTGAAACGGTCCGCTGTTCCTTTGGTGTGTAACGAGTCGCAGCGGACCGTCGTCAAAGAAAAAATGAGGTGTAAAAATTGTATACCAATTCAAAATCTAATTATGGATCAATCCACTGGACTGCAATTTTATCTATTGAATGATAAAGTTGTTCTGTTGACAAAATATGGTAAGAATTTTACCAAAACATGGCCAATTTGATGTTTAGGAGACTGTGACGCCTTCATTGTCGCCATTTGACCAGTCCGTAAAGCTTAATATGATCGGATCAAAATTTTACGACTTCGTTCATATTGGACAGCCAAGAAAGAGCAGGTTCCAAATGGATTAGTTGGGACGCGAGAAAATCTGTATCGAAGTCCTGCCATGTTCGACCAGGCTGCATTTTGGTGGTGAAAATGTTTTGAACTGAAACGGTCCGCTGTTCCTCTGGTGTATAAGGAGTCGCAGCGGACCGTCGTCAAAGAAAAAATGAGGTCTAAAAATTTTATACCAATTCAAAATCTGACTAATTATGGATCAATCCACTGGACTGCAATTTTATCTACTGGATAATAAAGTTGTTCTGTTCACAAAATTTAGGTGGCTAAAACCTGACGGTTTGGTTGGTTTAGGACATTTAAAACAGTGACCAAAATTATACAATTTGGCAAGTAGAAAACTTTTACTCAAGGTAAAATGTTGATTACTTTGGGTTCCACTTATGAAATCACAATCTTAGCCGCCCAAAACCTTGAGGTTTTTGTAAATTTTGGACAGCCAAGAGAGAACAAGATCAAAACGAATCTAAACGACTTGTACATAAACACACCTTTTCTTTGTTGCGGATTTTTTAGTTCGCCAAAAATGACGTCCACAATTTCTTGTATTGATAATTCTGTAGAGACAACTACGCAGAAAAGGTGCTTAGGTGTAAAGGATTTTGACCAAGTGGCTTTTTATTTTTTCCGTTCAGAATGTGCGGCCCAGGGCTGGCCAAAAATCATATAACTGAGCGTAAGAATTATTGGGTTTTGTTTGTCATTGGACATGTAAAAAGAGCTTTTTTGTGGTCGTCGGAAAACAACAACGTGAAAATTGGTGAAGGGCAAATGTCGAACTGTATTGCTCGTTCTACACTTGTAGTCCCAGTGTATCAGGAAATTGGGCTCTTTGGGTCCGCAACTTCTCGCTTTAGGTCGAGTTCTTAATCAACTATTTTTGACCAAAATTTCAATATTAGGGAGATTGTTTAATTAAAATGAGATGCAATCAAGTAATAAATTCTCAAGAGGAAACGTTATTGGGATTGTCTTTTTGGATAAATTTAAAGGCTGCAAAGCGTTTCAATTTGTATAAAAACTTGGCCGTTCGATATATTTTGGACAGCCAAGACTCAGTGCAAAATCTGAACAATTGGTTGAATCAAATCACATACAACTCATCCTATGCGATGTGGACTTTATACCGGAACATCAAATCGATGCCGACCGTTTAAATTTGGTTAATTATGGACAGCCAATGCTGACCCTATCCAAAGATTCGACCAAATCTTACTAACGCATACAAGTCATACTAATGCAGAGCATTGGCATATGACGCTGCGGCTTATTAAAAGCAATTCAATAGGGAAAAATATCTCCACTTGTTGAATATCGGAGAGCCAAGACATCGTGTTCAAAATTCGACCAACTGGTGGTCGGTCTAGCAACTCATACTATGCAACAAATGGCATATAATTTTCTCTCAAATTCAAGACAAATAAATCCCTTTGGGTAAAAATATAGGAGTTAATTTTAGAGAGCCATTAATTTAGCCAATTGGCCAACTCACATAAATAAGTCATACTATGCAACTAATGGCATTGATTACCTTTTCTCTCATTCCAAGTTATAAAAAGGCTTTTTTTCTAAAAATGATTTTCTTTAATAAATCATGAACAGCCAAGAAATAAAAAATCCAGATCAAAATTAGACCAATTGGATATTTTTGGATAAACGTCATCGTTATATCAAGTCGACAAAATACGGTAGTCATTCGTTTTGCCCAACCCTTAACGAAAATGTGCAAATCGGGCTGAATTTTTGGCCAAGGCAGGCTAACCAAAAATCAGTCAAATTTTTTATTTTATTGATAGCTAAAACAGCCAATAAATGTGATCCCAAGCATTCCAAGTGATCCTTTCTGATGAAAATGTTTTTGGATTGGGTTGATTTCGGACAGCCAAGACTCCGGCCAAAATCGAACCAATTATTTTGGATAATAAATTAATATAAACCAATGATACGATGATAACAACAGCGCCATTTGTATTTCCTCCTTCTGGAAGCAAACGTATTAAATTTCCGAGGCCAAAATTTTTTACAATAGTTTTCAATTTCAGACAAGCCAATGCTGACATTGACAAAAATCTGACCAATTCAGTCAACTCGCATCTTACTGTCATACTGCGATTAATTGCATATAATATTTTCTCGTTTCAAGCAATCAAAATTTCCATTGATGAAAATGTTTGAATTCGGTTAATTTTGAACAGCCAAGACTCCGACCAAAACCTGACCATGTTAATCAACTCACATAAGCAAGTCATTATACTACTACTAGTGGCATTTATATTTTCTTCTTTTAGAAGTGAACTTGTTATATTGCTGAAGCTAAAATAGCGGTATTCTTTTTATTTTGGACAGCCAATACTGACAATGACCAAAATCTGACCTATTGGTAAAGTCAACTCGCATAAATATGTCTTACTATGCGATTAAGGACATATCAGATTTCTTTCTTCCAATTAATGGAAATTTCTTTTGATGAAATGATTGGATTCGGTTAATTTTGGACAGCCAATACTGGCCAAGGCTAAAATTTGACGAAACTGATAAAAGAAGGACGTTGAAATTACTCAGAATTGGGAGATCTTCGGGTTCGGATTTTTTTTCAGCTACGGTTGGAAATCCCGCCATTCCAGGGTGAAAATCGATCGTAGGGGGCCCCCGTTGGCAGCCCTGGGATTTGGTGAAGATGGCGCAGGGCCACCGAGCCGGACCACGAACCCTCAGACAGCGAGCCACAACTACTGACATCGTTATGCGTCTCAACTGAAAAAGTAAGGCAGACGAACCACGTCCTAAACGAGACGCGAGCCCACCGGCCACGTCGGCATCCAACGAACTAGTCCACTACGACAACAGGTATGTCGCAACACCACACCCAGGGGTGGTTTTTCACAAAAAGCACATTTAAACCAGAAATACGCCCCAAAAACCATAGTTCGATTTTTAGAGAAGTCTAAGACATTTAATCAAATTAAAACAAGTGCATCGTTTTTAAGTCTAGTCCGTGAGTTGATGTTTTGCTTCCCCCGTTTCTGGCGGGTCGGGCTCGTATCGATCCGCCGTGGGGGTGGAAGATCGCCCGAGTAACCTTTGCCACCCGCCCCCGCGCCGACACGACACGGAGAGCAACCCCCCGAACTTTCAATGGGCCCGCGGATCCCCATTGACAAATCTCTGTTTACACTCGAGTTTTGGTCAAAACGAGAAAACGAGGAGGAAAGGAGGAAATCGATGGAATGAATTTCAAGGGCGGGCTCTAATAGTGGAAAAGACAGAAGCACGATTAGATAAAACTGTCCACAAATCTGAACATACAAGATAAGACACGAACAAAAATATTTGTGTAATCTCAACATTCCTCTACAAATCGACACATTTTTCCTCAATGTTAAATACACAATCACTGTCAATATGCCACAAATTATCAATTAAAAAATAATCTACAAATCATTGTCAATACTTGTTCTAAAAAAAAGAACGATAATTGTCCTTAAATCTCGCGAAATTTTCAACAATCCACTGATTGCTAAACGACCAAAATCTTCATTAATACTTGCTCCTGACGAAAAAGTACAATAATTGTCCCTAAACATGACGAATCTTCATCAATACTAATTTCTAATTTGATAAAATAATACTAATTTGATTAAAAAAACTTCATCAATACCTATTCCTGGCGAAAAAAAGTACAATAATCCATAAATCTGCATCAATACTTGGACCTAAATGTCTAAATTTTTACATCAATTCCTAGACATTAACAAATCTTATTTCTAAACGTTCACAATTTTTCAAGATTACAAATTCGTAATTACACGTAAAACTTCAATTCTTGTTCCTGAAGAATCAAATATCGTTCCTAAATATCCACAAATCTTCATCAATATTGATTTCTAAATGCTCACACAAATCTGTATCAACTGTCATTCCGAAAGGTCCATAAATCATCAACAACACTTGCTCTTGAAGAAAAAATGTACAAAAAATGCCCATAAATGTCCACAAATCTCCGTCAATACTTGTTCCTGAAAAAAAAAATTGTCCCTAAATCGTCCTAACGCTGATTTTTAAACAATTAAATCTTCATCAATAATTTCTAAAGGACCCAATTTTCATCTATATTTGTTCCTGAAAAAAATAATTTTTCTTAAATGCCCATAAAACTTTATCAATAATAATTTTTTAAATGACCACAAATCATCTATATTTTTTCCTGTGGGGGGACTACAAAATTGTTCAAAAATGTCCATAAAACTTCATCAATACTAATTTCTACACGACCACAAATCTTCATCTATATTTGTTCCTAGAAAGAAAAAAAAAGGAAAAAAAACGGAAAAAAAACAGTACAATAATTGTTCATAAATGCCCATAAAACTTCATCAATACTAATTTCTAAACGACCACAAATCTTCATCTGTATTTATTCCTAGAAAGAAAAAAAAGGAAAAAAAGAAAAAAAAGAAAAAAACAGTACAATAATTGTTCATAAATGCCCATAAGATTTCATCAATACTAATTTCTAAACGACCACAAATCTTCATCTATATTTGTTCCTAGAAAGAAATAAAAGAAAAAAAACGAAAACAAAACGGTACAATAATTGTTCATAAATGTCCACAAATCAATACTTCTTCCTGAAAAAAAATAATTGTCCCTAAATCGTCTCAATGCTAATTTTTACACAACCACAAATCTTCACCAATACTGATTTCTAAAGGGCCACAAATCAATTATCAAAACCTGAAGAACACAAAATAAACGCCCCTGTAGGTCCCCAATTTTTTTAACTTTTTACAAAATATAACTTCTGTATATCACAAAAATCCCTGCCAACCTATTCAGAAACGAACAAAAATCTTCATCAGTACCAAACCCCCTCAAATCTTCATTAATAAATGTTCATAAAGATGAACAAATCTTCATCAGAACATACTGTTCCGAAACGCTTCATTCATACCAATTCCTAAACGTTGCCAATTCTTCATCAATAGTCGTTCTCAAAGACCCATAAATCTTCATAAATTCCTGAAGAACCAACAATCTCCCTAAAAGAATACCGATTCTGAACGTCCATAAATACATCCCATCTATCTAATTAAAGTAAATTCAATAATCAATTTTACGAAATATGAAAGGGTTACCAATGGGGACTCCGTTATCCCCACTTTGTGCCGAAATTTTCATGGATAATTTCGAAAAAAAAACCTTTTCAAATCGAACAACAAATTAATTAAATCTGTTCATTTCTGGAAACGCTATGTAGACGATATTCTATGCATACGGTCGGGAACATTAGAGGATCTCAAAGAATCCCTCTAACTAATTAATTATCTACACCGTAATATAAATTTTACATTAGAAATTAACAAAGAAGGTTGTTTGAACTTTTTAGACCTAAAATTTAAATTTATTTTTAAACCTAAAGAACACTTGCCTAAATCTAGCAAATTTTCGGAATTTAAGGACCATCTAAAAGAATGGTACATGTTTTCAATTCAAATTTAAATACAACAGTGTTACTTCAACAAAGGGAGAGTACTAGATTGGTTTGAGAAATTCGAAATTAAAAAATGTAAAATTCAACATGGTGATAAATGATTTTGATCTACCTCCCATTTTAAATAATAAACCCATAATATTAAACGTCCAAATAATTAAATTAATTATTTTAATTGTTATTATTTTTGTAATAAATTAATAATATTGAGGTATTATTCGAATTTTTTTATCTTTTATCACTAATTTATAATTAATTTCTTACAGTATTTACTATCGTATTATAATAGTTATTTGTGTTATAATTCCCGTTTTTCGCACGTTCAAATTGAGCGCCAATAAAAAAAACCCAGCTGCTAATTGGAACGTCGCGTTGGGGGGGGGGTTATCAGCGGGTTCACTATTGCAATTCATGTCGACAGACGTGGTTGTAAAAGTCCTTCAACCTGATGATGAGCTAACGGCTCGAAATCCGGATTGTTGCGAAACAACTTACTGCGAGTAGGAACCATCTTTTTAAAAAGGATAAATACATCATTCTTATGTCCTCAAATCTTCATCAATACTTGCAAAAATAAAAATAAAATAAAATAAAACCGTAATATTGTTCCGAAGCATTGACAACACTTGTTTACGGTCGTCAACATATTATGGTTGTACCTGAATCATATAGAGACCCTTTAATATGTATACTTTTCCTGGACGTCCACAAATCTCAAAACTTTTTCTATGATTACTTGTTCACTAACTACAAATACTTGTCGATACTTGTTCCCCTGGTTATGCAAAACGGGTCCATGAGGGACAAGATAGACACGGGGCCATTTGGCCCGCGGAATACAACAAAACCTAACGAAAAACTGAAAATTAGGCCGGTTTAGAACGAATTTAGACAAAAAGAACACAATTTGAAAGAGAAAGCTTTATATATTACTTTAAAACCAACAGAATTAGTTAAGTCTGTTAAAGGATGTTGTAGTGCACTTAACGACAAACGATATGACCTTATTCGGGATTTAAGCTTGATTACAAAGTCCTAAGCCCCTGGGCTTAAAACTTCACAAAACCTGATGAATTTAGAATATGACAAGATGTGAAATAAAATTTAAAAAATCAAAAACCGACCTCGGATTGTCAGAAACTAACACAAGATCAACGAGATGACTATAGATTGGGCTTAAAATAACGGTTATAAAAGTTTAAGTCCCAAGACTTGATACTCGATCAATTTTTGCTTGTTATAAAGTCCAAATAAAAGTGGTGCAGAATACTATCAATATATCAAAGACTAAATTCACGTGCTTTTCCAAATGGGTCCAAAGTTTGGTTACAGAGTTTCAAGCCCCTGATCTTGACAATTATATCATAAGTTGCGCTTTAAAACGATGCGTGATCATCTTAAAGTATAACTTTACGTTTTATTAAAAATGTCTATGGCAGGTTTAAGAATATCTTACATGACCGTATATGGGCCAAAGCAGTAAGTAATTTTTGGTCGGGAAGATTCGAGTAAAATCGAAATTACTGTCATTATATCCTGTAAATAAATTTAAGGCCTAATATTAACCAAATGATTGAAGACTTCAGGTATGATCAACTAAGATTCGGAATGATTTTTCTAGTTTCAAGACTATGAAATGGGCGGAAGTCATCTAAATGCACCGAATTGGGTTTAAAACCTAGTTCTGCTATGGTCACGATGGATCAGTGTTGTTATAGTAAACAGTGATCAAATTCATAATTGCCACTGTTTAGCAACCTTTCAGCCAAAGAAGAAGAACACGGGCTTTTTCAGTTTTGACGTAATTTTCAATACTGCTCATGAGTGAGTTGACAAGTGAACTGGAAATCACATCATTTTCATGCTACGCCTTTAGAGAGCAGCAAAACCCGGTAAAAGCAATTTTTTTTAAAGTGCTGGAATTACACCAATCTTCAGGTATACCAGATTTAAAAAAGTGCGAGGATTAAAGACAGTAAACATTAGGTAGGTGGTCAAGTATAATAATGCTGATCCGCCCGTCGAATCGCAAGTGGGGAAGAAACTCGTCTTCATCATTTCTGGGACGGTCTCATTGTGAACTTAAAGAACATCATCTCGTACATTACAGTTCATAGGTTTGAAGTTGATATTTTGTCTGTTTAGGAAATGCCAGAACAGAGCAACGATTACAGGGTGGTGGTGTTCGGCGCAGGAGGCGTCGGAAAATCCTCCCTTGTGCTTCGATTCGTCAAAGGAACATTCAGGGAAAGCTATATCCCGACTATCGAGGATACGTACAGACAAGTTCAGTTGACGTTTTACATTTAAACCAAAATGTACAAGTTTTTAAACCGAACTTTTTTCAGGTGATCAGCTGCAATAAGAACATCTGCACCCTCCAGATCACGGACACGACAGGCAGCCACCAGTTCCCAGCGATGCAGAGGTTGTCTATATCTAAAGGGCACGCATTCATCCTCGTCTACTCGTGCACGTCGAGGCAGTCGCTCGAGGAGCTACGGCCCATCTGGGACGTCATTAGGGAGACGAAAGGCGCCGACCTCGCGTCCATACCCGTCATGCTTGTCGGGAACAAGTGCGACGAGTCGGAGACGAGGGAGGTCTCCAGCGAAGATGGAGAGAACGAGGCCAAGGCCTGGGGATGCCACTTTATGGAGACCTCCGCCAAAACGAACCACAACGTCAAGGAACTCTTTCAGGTGCACCAAAAGACCAAAAACCAATCCGATAACATTTGACAAATTTAAACTGTTATGTTAAAATATTACGGAATATCCATATGGCCAAAACGTAGGCTAAGTAGTATGAAATCCCAGGGATTAATTCTAGGTCAGTCCTTGTTGATAATGGCGATACTTCACCACGACAAACTGTAATTATACTCTGCTATGAGATACCATTAATATAATAGGGAATATAGGTATGGCCACAAATTGACCATATAAGTCCGTTATAAATACTTTACACATTTAGCTATAAGACAGGACTTGATTTTATAAAGCTACTATAGTAAATTAGTAAACTACTAGAGTAAATCTTCAGCGCAAGTGATTAAGAATGCAAGCGGCTTTGGATTGCCTGAAGCTTTGGTCAAGTAGTTAAGTCGCATGACTTAATAATTCATCGGTTTTACACGAGCTTCACTATCTGTAACCTCAATATGATGTTGCTATAAAATACTACAACAAATACACTAAGGAAATCATATGGCCTTAAACCGGCCTGAACTGTGATTAAGCAATATGAAGTCCCACGGCTTCATAATTAGGAGGTTGTGCTTTAAGATGATGTAAACTAATCGTCTTAAAGTACAACCCGACTCACGATAGTACTTGATTTTATAAAACTACAAAATATCATCTACATCTTCAACGTATTTATAAATGGTTAAGAATGGATACGGCTGCAGCCTCAAGCTCTAATCAACATAAAGTCCCAGGGATTAATCCTTTACAAGTGCAGTTATGGAAAGAAAGACGTTGATTTTACAATACTATAAAATGTCCTGTAAATCTTCAGCACAGTTCTCCATCGTTAATAAATCTTCATTAATGGATGCGGCTTTGGATTGCCTCAAGCTGTGGTCAAGTAGTTTGAACTCCCAGGACTAAATAGTTGATCGGTTTTACTTCATAATGATGGAACTTCATTATCTAAAACTCCAATCTGATGTTGCTATCAAATAGCACGAATATACTAAAGAATAACAATATAACCTTAAACCGGCCTAACTAAGCTTCAATTGGGCAGTATGAAGTACTACATGAACAAGTTGTGTTTTAAAACAATATGACGTAATCGTGTTAAAGTACAACTTGACTAACTACAGGACTTGATTTTTTAAAGCTTCAAAATATCATGTAAATAAATATCCAATTCATTTGTAAAGGTGAAGAATGAATACGGCTTTAGATAGCCTCAAGTAACTTAAAAGTCCAAAGGATAAATACTTTACAAGTGCTGCTATAATAAAACAGGACTTGATTGCTACAAAATGTCTGTTCAATCTTCAGCCCAGTTTTACGTGGTTATGATTGCTGACGGCTCTAGATAACCTCAAGATTTGGTCAAGTAGTTTGACGTCCCAGGACTAAATAGTTCATCGGTTTTAACTGGTTTTTACGGAGGTTGTGCTTTAAGATGATGTGGCTTAATCGTCTTAAAGTACAACCCGAATCACGATTTTGATCACTTGATTTTATAAACCAACGAAAAATCATCTACATCTTGAACAAATTTATTTATAAATGGTTAAGAATGGATACGGCTTTGGATTGCCTCAAGCTTTGGTCAAGTAGTTTGAAGTCCCTGGACAAAATAATGCATCGGTTTTGCTTCATAATGATGGAACTTCATTATCTAAAACTCCAATCTGATGTTGCTATCAAATAGCACGAATATACTAAAGAATATTTTAATTATAATTTTAAGGTTATTAATAATTTTAAGGTTATTACAATATAATCTTAATACGGCCTAACCTATGACTAAATGATTTTTAACGATTTTATGTCGCAGAAAATCTTCTGTGTCAAATATGAAGCTGTATAATTTATTGTAATCATGTTCAGCACTTAATGGACGTAATTCAATACCCTAAGCATATTAACATATTACCTAGTTGACAAAGTCCACGGACTTAAATGTTCATTAGATTTAATTTGGAAACTTAAGTAACAGACGGTTTTGCTGTTGGACTTTATAGACTGAATTACGGAGAAAGAATTTAACGTTTACTGTAGCGTATGGTATGACCTTAAATTGGCCTGGCCTTCGGCCGAGTTAGATGTCCCTGGGTTTTGCTAGCAATCACTGCACCTTCAAATCAATTTAAAAATCAAAATTTGTTTGTTAGATCATATGCGACGAATATGATGATCTCAAGGTTTGGTCACGTTGTTCCAAATCCATGATCCTCATAATCGATTCTTTCAACAATAAATCGATACTATTCTATTTTGCAAAGGCGTAAAATAATCGATTAGTGCCATACCATAAATAAGTTTTAGCCGAATATGGTCCCACTCTTTGGTCATGGTGTCCCCAGCCCTTGGTCGTCATAACCGAACCGTTCAATGATAAATCGATACTAATCGATTATTTCAAAGTCCAAAATAATCGATTAGCGCCGACGCCATGCAGGTTTTTGACAAATGATACGACCTCGTGTGTGCCCAAATTTTTGTTTTTCAAGCCACTTGTCGCCATAATGGTTCCCGTTGAACTTCGTATCAATTCATATACATAGATCGTAACAAACTACTGAATGCGAAAACTTTTCTCTGGAAAATAAACAGAGTACCTACTATTTTATTTCACCTGGAGCGCTACTCCTCGGGCGGTTTTTTATTCATATTTTTAAGTTAAAGGTTAATTTTAAAATTGTGTCAAAATTTTTCAGGAGTTGCTGAACCTCGAGAAGAACCGCAACATCTCGCTGCAGCTCGAGAAGAAGGGCCAGCTCAAAGGGACGAAGAAGATCAGAGAGAAGTGCCGGCTCATGTAGTTTTTCAGAGCCCGTGAGGTCTCGCCAACACCTGTGATAGAATTGAATATATATATATACATAAACAAAAAAAAATCTACAAAACAAAAAAATCCAAAAAAAAACAACAACAGACAAACAGGCCGAACCCTGCATATCTATTAATAAGACTTCTCTTTTCACCACGAACATTTTTCACACGATTAGAAATTTTTTTCTTTTGGTCGTACACCTAAAATCTCATCCAAAAACTATTGAACAATTGAATCAGGCTGTTAGGTCGTAAAAGTCTGTAAAGCAAGAATAAATTTAACGTAAAGGACGAAAAGACCTGTAGTAACAAAGAAAACTCGAGATCTTCCATCCGCAAACATTCTCTACTTTTTGATCATTCAAAATAAAACTTCAAATCCCACAAAAAACTACAACAATCAAAAGAGAAAATTAAAAAGTTCGGTCTTTGTGTTAAAAAAACCAAGTTCACAGACAACGAAATTTAAAAATTGAATGCGCCAAGATATATTTTGCGTGGATTTTTTTGGTCTTTTTTTTGGACGATGGGTCAATACTGTGATAAAATTGGGGAGTAGCGACGGTTGGCACTTTTCATTTCTCTTCAAAAGAGGGGAAATTTCGGGGCGCTGATTTTTTTTCTCTCTTTTTTCGCGTACCGGTAATCTTTCTAAGCCGTTGGGAATTGCATCTAAAATTGGTTAAGTTTCAAGGCTTAATATTTGGTATGTTTTATTCAAATACGATAGGACTTAACCTTATAAAACTGTAATGTAATATAACACTGAAATACCCAGTTCAAATTATCAGATAATGATATGGCCTTAGATACGCTCAAAATTTGGTCAAGTAGTTTCAAATCCTGGGACTTAATAATCGACATGTTTTGCTATAATTAGACAGGACTTGACGTTATAGAACTATAATGTAATAGACCACTGAAATAACTAGTTCAAATTAACACATAATATTAGGTAGGCTCAAAATTTGGTCCAGTAGTGTGAACTCCTGGGGCTTAATACTTGACAAGATTTACTTTAATACGACAGGACTTGATCTTATAAAACTATATACAGTTTAACTATTAAATACACAAGTCTGCGTTAACAGATAATGCTATAGCCTTAGATAGACTGAAAATTTGGTCAAGTAGTTTGAAGTCCTGGGGCTTACTACTTGACCAGATTTACTTTAATACGACAGGACTTGACATTATAAAACTAAAACGTAATCTAACTCTGAGATACCCAGTTCAAATTAAGCGATAACGATATAGCCCTAGATAGGCTCAAACAGTAGTCAAGTAGTTTGAAGTCCTGGGGCTTAATATTTGACAAGATTTACTTTAATATGATAGGACTTGACCTAATAAGACTACAATGTTGTATAACTCTCCAAACCATTATAACAACATGAAAGTAAACGGGTCGTTATTTGGGCCAATTAGACCAAAGCAGTCGGTCTTTACAAAAATGACCATTTCAGGTTTTAATAAATTCTAATCGGCAGTATTGCCGATTAGAATAGTCCGATGCGACCAGTTTACGTACTGCAACAAATAGATCTTGTATTGAAGACATGACAACGAATAGACTTTTACTTTGGTTGATGGAAGCTACAAGGTTTTTCGAGTCAATATTCCATTAAATCGATAATAATCGATTATTTAAAACTAAAAATTGATCAATTAGACTCTTGCAGCGGATAAGTTTCGGTCGTATGATATGGCCTCATGTAGGCCCAAACTTTGGGAATGTAGTTCAAAGCTTCTGGTCGTCACATTCGACCCGTTCTACTTTAAATCGATATTGATCGATGTTCTCGATCTCCGACTAGAAACGAGTCCGTATCGTGCAAAAACGGACGGCGTATAGAACCGAAACACTTAGAGCCACCGGACGACCCGACAGCACTAGGTGTTTATTGTCTCTGTCTTTCGATCTATTTCAAGTCGCAGGTTTTTAACGAAGGGCACGCGCGCCTTGCCATAAAATTGTTCGATTATGCTCTGTAATTTTTTTAAAAATTTTATTTTAAATTTTATTTTATGACAATTCCCAGTCGGCTGACTTTTTATTTATTAAACGAAATAGAATAAAAGGGAAACACTGCCGTCCCAGTTGCTTAAGAAACACAATGAAAACGAAGAAACACCGGCAATAGAAGAAAAATCTCGCACAACTCGATGTACAAAAAGAAATAACCCTAATAAAATTTAAAAAATATATACATATATAAATATATATATGATAAATGTGTAAAGAAAAATTATATATTTAAAAATGAAAATTTAAATTAAATAATAGTGATTAAAAAAATAATAATTAATGATTAAAAAAAAGAAATGAAAAAACTAGTAGCAACGAATCTTTTTCTCCATGGATTTTTTTACTATTTTTTGTCCCTCTTTAATTAATAATAAATTAATTATTAACGAAGGGAAATATTAAGAAACAACTAGATGAACGCTTTTATAGGGGCATGATTAAAAAAAAGCCTTTTTAGAAAAAGAAGCCGGGGGGTTTTTTAATAAGGTTTTCTCTCTCACTCTTTCTCTTTATCTCTCCTCTTCTCTCTTTCTCTATCTTGTGCTTGTAAAAATTAATTAATCTTTCTCCGCTTGGCAAGACACATATCAAAGGAAATTTAAAAAAAAATTAATGTGTATAATTTTTTCTATTGGATTTATAGTAGAAGATTTAGACATGTTCTTTTTATAAAATAATTATTTTTCTTGTATATATTTTTTCTTTACTTTAATTTATTTCTTTAAACATAAAACATTTCATCAAATAGAGAAATAATTAAAACTAAACAAAAAAAAGCTCATATATATAAAATATGTCTATACGATGAATCACCCTGTATAATTTTTTTCTAATTATAACATAGTGGTTAAGAAGAAAATTGTAATTGTAAATTTGCAAAAAACAGAATAGTGCCCTTAATTATGTAAATGATATTAAAAAAAATATTGAACGATAAGTTCAGTGTTTTTAGTTTGACCCTATCAAATATGCAACAAGGCGACCAGAAAAAATGTATGGACCCGACAAAAATCCGTTCATGGTACGGAATAAGGTTAAGGTTAAGTGGTGCTAAGCCCATGGATCGTTTTAACCTCTACAGTTTATTTTTGGATGCAATAAGTACATATACATAATAAGTACATTTAATGACATGGCGTTAACTTCGAACAAGTAGGTTGAACCTTAACATTTTCAAAGTTCTTTTAGAATATGATAGCACTTCATAATCGAAAACTGAAAAACCTAAGGTTGCTAGGAAATACCATAAACATACTAATAGCAATATATAAAACGGACTGAACAGTGATTAAGCAGTATGAAGAACTCGCCTTGATAATTATCGAGTTGTGCTTTAAACTTTATCTCTTGAAGTACAACCCGACTTATGATAGGACTTGATTTTATAAAGCTAGAAAATATTATGTAAATCTTCAGCACAATTATAAATGGTTAAGATACGGCTTTTGATTGCCTGAAGCTTTGGTCAAGCGGTCTGAAGTCCCATGCCTTAATAATTCATCGGTTTTGCACATGTTTCGTTATTTATTACTCCAATCTGATTAAAACATACTGCCTTAAAGTTGTGCTGTAAGATGATGTGAATTAATCTGTCTTAAAGAACAACCCGACTCGCGATTAGAGTTGCTTTTATAAAAAAAACAAAAAATCATCTACATCTTCAACAAATTTATAATTGGTTAAGAATGGATACGGCTTTGGATTGCCTCAAGCTTTGGTCAAGTAGTTTGAAGTCCCTGGACTAAATAATGCATCGGATTTGCTTCATAATGATGGAACTCATTATCACTCCAATCTGATGTTGCCATGAAATAGCTCAAATATACTAAGGAAAAAGATATGGCATTAAACTGGCCTAACCTTCAATTCTTCAACGTATTTATAAATGGTTAAGAATGGATTTGGCTCTAGACAGGCTCAAGCTCTAATCAACTTAAAGTCCCAGGGATAAATCCTTTACAAGTGCAGTTATGGAAAGTAAGACGTTGATTTTACAATGCTATAAAATGTCCTGTAAATCTTCAGCACAGTTCTCCATCGTTAGTAGATGCGGCTTTGCATTGCTTCAAGTTTTGGTCAAGTAGTTTCAAGTCCCTAGACTAAATAACGCATCGGTTTTGCTTCATAATGAAGCAACTTCATTATAGAAAACTCCAATCTGATGTCGCTATGAAATAGCACAAATATACTAAGGAAAAACAAATGGCCTTTAAACGGCCTTTGATGAAGCAATATGAAGTAACACGGCTTGATAATTAGTAAGTTGTGCTTTAAGATGATGTGATCTAATCGTCTTAAATTACAACCAGACTCACGATAGGACTTGATTTTATAGAAACTACAAAATATCGTCTACATCTTCAACGTATTTATAAATGGTTAAGAATGGGTACGGCTCTAGGCAGCCTCAAGCTCTGATAAAGTCCCAGTTTACAAGTTTCATAACAAGTAATTATGGAAAGAAAGACGTTGATTTTACAATGCTACAAAATGTCCTGTTCAGAACAATTCTGCATCGTTAGTAATGGATGCGGCTTTGGATTGCCTCAAGCTGTGGTCAAGTTTGAACTCCCAGGACTAAAATAGTTGATGGAACTTCATTATCTAAAACTCCAATCTGATGTTGCTATGAAATAGCAAAAATATACTAAGGAAAACCAAAAGGCCTCTTAAACCGGCCTAAGCTTCAATTCGGCAGTGTGAAGTACTAAATGAACAAGTTGTGTTTTAAAACAATATGACGTAATCGTCTTAAAGTACAACTTGACTAACTACAGGACTTGATTTTTTAAAGCTTCAAAATATCATGTAAATAAATATCCAATTCATTTGTAAAGGTGAAGAATNATAGGACTTGATTTTATAAAACAACAAAAAATCACCTACATCTTCAACGTATTTATAAATGGTTAAGAATGGATACGGCTTTGGATTGCCTCAAGCTTTGGTCAAGTAGTTGGAAGTCCCTGGAGTAAATAATGCATCGGTTTTGCTTCATAATAATAGAACTTCATTATCTAAAACTCCAATCTGATGTTGCTATCAAATAGCACGAATATACTACGGAATAACAATATAACCTTAAACCGGCCTAAATAAGCTTCAATTGGGCAGTATGAAGTACTAAATTAACAAGTTGTGTTTTAAAACAATATGAAGTAATCATCTTAAAGTACAACTTGACTAACGACAGATCTTGATTTTTAAAGCTAGAAAATATCATGTAAATAAATATCCAATTCATTTGTACAGGGGAAGAATGAATAGGCTCTAGATAGCCTCTAGTTTTGGTCAAATAGTTTGAACTCCCAGAACCAAATAGTTGCTCGGTTTTACTTCATAATGATCGAACTTCATTATCTAAAACTCCAATCTGATGTTGCGATCAAATAGCACAAACAAATATACTAAGGAAAAATATATGGCCTTAAACCGTCCTGAACTTTGATTAAGCAATATGAAGCCCATGGCTTGTTAACTGGGAAGTTGTGCTTTAAGATGATGCGACTTAATCGTCTTAAAGTACAACCCGATTCACGATAGGACTTGATTTTATAAACCAACGAAAAATCATCTACATCTTGAACAAATTTATAAATGGTTAAGAATGGATACGGCTCTACGCAGCATCAACCTTTGACCAAGTAGTTCATTGAAGTCCCAAGACTAAATAATAATAAAAATTTAATTAATAATTGATGAAGTCCCAGGGATAATTCTATACAAGTGTAGTTATGGAAAGACAAATCTTCATTTTATAAAGCTGCAAAATGTCGTATAAATCTTCAGCACAGTTCTCCATCGTTAGTAATGGATGCGGCTTTGGATTCCCTCAAGCTGTGGTTAAGTAGTTGGAAGTCCCTGAGTAAATGACGCTTCGGTTTTGCTTCATAATGGTGGAACTTCATTATCTAAAAACTCCAATCTGATGTCGCATGAAATAGCACAAATATACTAAGGAAAAACAAATGGCCTTTAAACGGCCTTTGATGAAGCAATATGAAGTAACACGGCTTGATAATTAGTAAGT